AGAGAATTAGAAACCAGTAGGTCCAGTGTTGGGGTATAAATTTAGACACATTTTCTGGGTTGGCATCCCACTCTGTCATTTACTGAGGAAATAGATAAATAACCTCTTTTAGCATCATTTCATATCTATAATTTGGAGCAAATACATCAAACATATATCAAATAAAAATCCAGAGGATATTACAGGTGAAAATGTATAAAAGTCTTATTTTTAAAATGGCCTTATTTTTAAAATGGCCTTATTTTTAAAATGGCATTATTATTGCTATAATTTATGATGACAATATTCTGATTGGCCTTTTGATCCTTGTGGTTATCTGAGAGGAAAAAAATGGTACATAAAATGGCCCTGGGATGCATGTTTGGGAAAAAATATGTTAAAAAGATGAAATCTAGTGACTTAGTGCTTATTGGATAATTTCAAGACAGGACAAGTAAGAAAAATTTTTAAGATTCTTAAGTATTAGTAACAACTCAAGTTAAATTTGTGTGATTAATTAATTTAAATTATTGTGAACTGTATGCATTCATTTCACAAAGTTATTGTGTGGGAAGTGAATCCATTCATTCACTGAGTCAGCAAAAAGAAACTTGATTAAAATAATACTCAACTACATTTGGGTTTTTAAGGAAAGTTAGGCAAAGCCTTATTATTAATGTTTCTTGGCATGTGTGATATTCCTCATCTTCAGAGAACTTGACAAGCATTGATTTTAAACTACTTTTCAAGCATATTCTCAAATTAAAGTCATTGTTTCCGAGTATGCCTAAAAGCAGAAAGATTTGCTGCTTGTCACATTAAAAAAAAAACTACTGAAGAAGCAGAGGTGGAAATCTCATATTTATAAAGTAGAGATGGTTGGAAATGATGGCATTGTCTTAAAACAAATTTGGTCAGTACAGTTTGCCCATGGTTGATCAAATTGGATACAGTTTAAGCAAATATAAAGCACTCCTATCGCTTCCCTATACTGAGTCCAAAGTAGGCATCGCTAATCAATCACAATTCTTTCCACCTGAGTCCTCATTACATTACAGGAACATAGGTAATTGGGGAAGGAACTAAATTCTTTACCAACCCCCAGGACTTCATGGGTCAATGACTCACACCTCCAGCCAAGCTGAGGTCTGACAGCTCCAGCTGGACAGCTCCTTGCCAACCAACAATCGTGATTGACAGCTGCAGTCAGACCTGCTGTTGACAGCACCTCATAGACCTGTGGGGGTCAGTGATTGACAGCTCCAAGCAATTCGCTTTTGGACAGCCTCAGCTGACACCACAGGATAGCCTGGCTCAGCCCACGTGACAAATCCCCTTCTGTGAAACATCCAAATTCCCTTCCCTTTCTTTGCACAAGCCAAACCTCCCATTTTGTGCACCATGCGAGCCCACCTCCCATACAAGCCCCACCCCTTTCTGAGTAGTGGGAACCCAAGTTCCACAGTGTTGAGAACTTCCAACAAGCCTAACTGGAAATATCCAGCATGACTGCAGGACGTGTCCCCTTGATAACCTTTTTGGTCATTGTAATAACATTACTGTTGAGGGACACACTGACTCCCATCATGTACCAGACCTTTCCTAAAAAGGAAATGAAAAAGAGCAATGCTCAGCCCTGTCCCAACACCTGCTATTGAATATTCAACTGGGCCTCAGTACTGAGTACTAAGGCACAGTCCCATGGCCTTTTGCTGTCTTCATAAGTTTGGAGAGTGATAAAGGCAGCCCTCTGGTCATTCCAATTGACCCCAGGCTGGTTACACCAGGTTTCCTTAGGTGTAGGTCCCTACGAAGTCTCAAGAGGGTACAGCAAGCCCATTAAAAGCCCACAGTGACCCATGTCAAAATGAGTCTGACCCCCTAGAGCCTACGTTTCAGCCTGATGCCAGGCAAGTCTGGAAGCTCAGGCTGTAGCACCAGCTGGGGGCCAGAGGCCTTTTGACTTTATCAGTGCCCAATCTCAGCATGGTAGGCAAAGCTCTGAGCTCAGAGACATCTTCTACCTGGCTGGAGTTTTACATTCTATGAACCATTAGGGCAGGGATGGCAGAGGCCAGCTGGCAGTGGAGGCTCTAAGTACTCGCTCCACAAGTGTGGGTCTGGGGGTGGAGGCAGAGGCAGGGAGGCCCAGCCTGACTGAAATTTTTCTCAGTGGACCAGGTTAGGGATTTCAGTTCACCCTCCTTTTCCACGTTGTGTTTGTTGGAGTTTGGCAGGGGTGCCACAGGCACCTTTCTTTCTTGCTTTCTTCAAAATGACTTTTCTTGTGATTATCACAAAGAGAGGCACTGGTTTCTCACCTGGCTTCTTTTAGCTCTTGTGAAAGTGCCATGGTGTGTGTACAGCTGTTCACATTGGTGTCTCTCCAGGAAGGAGGTTACCAGAGCCTCTTACTCAGTTGCCGTCTTGGTTCTTCAAGAGGGTTGAGGGGGATAAGCCAGATGGTCTACAGAGTACCAGCACTGTGCCTAGACATGGTCAGGGCTGGGCAGATTCTGTCCAGGATGATTACTCGTAAGCTCAGCTGACTGTGCTAGTGTCCTGTTGCCACTGCAACAAATCACCACAGACAGGAGCATTAAATCACACAAATTTGTTGCTTTACAGTTCTGAAGGTCAAGTCAGAAGACAGCTTCACTGAGCTAACATTAAGATGTTAGCTGGGGTAGATTCTTGGAGAGCCTGAGGGAAAATCCATTTCTACGCCCTCTTCAGCTTCTGATGTCTGTGCCCCTCCCTCCATACCCAGTGCCTCGGCCCAATCTCTGATTTCATCATTACATCGCCGCCTTCTTTGCCTCCTAAGTCCCTCTTAAGAACCCTTGTGGATACAGTGGATCTACTCAGATAACCCAGGATAATCCTCCATCTCAAAAAACTTTTAAAGACTTGTTTTATTTAGGTACTTGCTCCACTTCAATCCCTGAGGCCCTATGTACAGACAGGAGAAGAGGAACTTTATTTCTTGCTCTCCTCCTGCTTGGACAGAGTCTTGATGAACTCTTTCTTGGCCTGAAGGTTCCCATCATGGCACTTGTGTTCTTCCTTGGTCTTAGATCTGCAGGCCTCAGCCTGGTCAGTGAGGAGCTGCTTGTAGGCCTTGTCTGCTTTCAGCTTATGGTTGTTTTCCATGAGAATCCACTTCTTTTTGAACACGTTTCCCTTCACCTTCAGATACAGGATGTGAGGCACGTGGCTGTCAAACTTGTTAAATTCACAGTACCTTCTGAGTGGCTGCTGCAGAATCTGCATCCTCCTCATCTGGCATTTGAGCATTGGCTGTTCCCTTTCTCTAACCTATGCCTACATCCCTGCCTTTTCCTTGTGTTGAGATGCTTTTCCAGCATTGAGCCTTTCCTCGAACAGTCACAGACTTGCATATGATCATCCTGTATTTGATCAGTTTCCAGATGGGCTGACAGGGGTTGGGACTGGCAATTTCATTGGTTTCATTGGAGTCCAACCAGACCTTCTTTTTGCCATGGTACAAGACACTGCAGGTAATCAAAAGGGCCTGGAGTGGTGGGGGAGGAGAGTCAAAGGGGCCTCATCACAAACTTTTTAACCATCACATCTGCAAAGTCCCTTTTGTCATAAAAGGATAAGCTAATATTCATGGGCTCTGAGGATTAGAACATAAACATCATTGGGAGCCATCATACAACATTGACTAATCAGATCATAGAACACAGTCAATATAACCTCCATATTGCTGTCATGAAGAGTGGTGAGAATAAACTCCAAGGACATGAGAGCTTGAGATGCTAATAAACAAATGAGTTTAGAAATCCCAAGAGCTTTTTTCTGTAACATCCATTTTCTCTTTCCACCTCTATCTTATCTCTACTTCTTTAGGAAAGAAGATGGAATTCAATAACATGGAATAGAAGAACAATGATCCTAAAACTCAGATTGACCTGGGTTCACATTCCAACTCTGCAACCTGATGACTATCTGGGTTATCTTGGGAAAAATTGCGTGGTTACCTTGGGTTTATTCCCCAGAAGCATTTTGAGGGATCTGAGAAGGCACTGTCAGGGAGTAAGGAAATGAGTAGAGGAATAGAAGGAAGCAAACACACAGTGCTATCAAGCAGACTCTTCCTGGGGGCCATGGGATCTGGGAAACAGCTTAGTGTGGGGAGCAACTCGGACTAGACTAAGTTACTGGAATTAAGACTTATTCTATGCATCTGCTCTCCCACAATATGGCGCTGAGAAGGGAGTAACAACTTCTACGCAGCTGCCTCTCACCAACTTGAGTGATGACCTGCAGGAGCTGATCTTGCTCCTGATTGGAGGAGAGCAGCGTACTTGGCGTGTGGGTAGCAGAGTTGGGATTGGTGGAAGAGGACTATAAAGGAAGAGAGAGACAACATGCACCAGGAACATCTAAGAGGAACATCTATCTGAAGGAACACCTGTGCAGCCCCCGAGAGAGCCGGCCGGCGGTGTGCCGCTCCCCCGCGGAAGTGGGGAAAGTGGCAGGGGGCCCGCCCCTCCACGGAGGTGGAAGGGTCGGTAGCCAACCCGGGAAGAACCAGCAGCAAACCCGGGGAGGGCCGAGCAGACGAAAGAACAGCGCAGGGTCCTGTGTCGTTCCTCCACGAAGAGGGGGAGCGACATAATGGTGCCGTGACTCGGATAGGAAGCCTAGGCAGGGTTCTGTGTCGTTCCTCCGCGAAGAGGGGGAGCAACATAATGGTGCCGTGACTCGGATAGGAAGCCTAGGCAGGGTTTAGTGTCGTTCCCCCATGAAGAGGGGGAGCGACACTTAGTACAGCCTCAAAGGTGCTCCACCTGCAGGGGGGAAACTTGTCTTCCAAGGCCTTGTCTCCGGCACTTCCAGCTTGCTCCCCACTTGCCCCGAGGATGTACAGCTTTCTGGGATGAACGCTGAGTTCCCCAGGGCTGTGAGTGGACTGTCCCTGGATTCTGCTGGCTGACTGCTCTGAAAACAGAGGACCTTCATACTCACCAGCAGGGATTTTCATGAGAATCGTTGATCATGTATTAAAACACTTAATAGTATATTTGACACACAGTAATCACTCAATATCTGGTGGCAGTTAAATGATGATATTGAAGGTTTCCTTTTGATTCCTGCTTGTGAATTTAGTTTGCACTTGGAATGATGACTTGACATTTCTATGCCCAAGTTTTTCTCTCTAAAATCAGGGAGGATGGTAAATAATCCATGTCATTTCCATGTAAATTCTTACGATCAATAATCTGCTACTTCATGGTTTGCTTCCTCAAGTCCTCTGGTACCAGACTTTCCCACTGGTCTCTGTGCTGTTGATCATGAGCTGACTTCAGTTGATCTCATGTGTGACTGTTAGGTCCTTTTTGGCAAATGATGGTAGCCTCTGAAGGAGTTTTGAGGTAAGTTACTTAGTTGATTGACAACTTCTTTACCTAGGATATAATGAACAGAAATCTCAGACAAAGATTATCACATGTAAGGCATCCATTTAAGTAAGCATTTATTAGCAAGTGAGCGTAATTATAGAGGTGACTTGTTTAGTAAACTTGAGCCTTCGCCAGGTCTATAATTTTTTTTTTTTTTTGGCCAGGCAAAGTTAGACAGTGAGAGAGACAGAGAGAGAGAGAGTTATAGACAGAGAGAGACAGAGAGAAAGGTCTTCCTTCTGTTGGTTCACCCCCTCAATGGCCGCCACTGCCGGCGCTGTGCCGATCCAAAGCCAGGAGCCAGGTAATTCCTCCCAGCCTCCCATGTGGGTGCAGGGACCCAAGCACTTGGGCCATCCTCCGCTGCCCTCCAAGGCCACAGCAGAGAGCTGGACTGGAAGAGGAGCAACCGGGACTAGTACCCAGTGCCCCAAACGGGACTAGAACCCGGGGTGCCAGTGCTGCAGGCGGAGGATTAGCCAAGTGAGCCACGGCGCCGGCCAACCAGGTCTATATTTTTAGAGGCTCTGACCCCTGTATTGCACAAAATAGTCACTGATGACCTTCATGCAGATTTCAGGGACAGGATTCTGTCCCTATGGCTAGCATCAGGGGCTCAGGATCCAATGTTCTTGGCTGGGCACAGGACCTTTTAGGGATTTAGCCCAGGTCACGATCCCTGGGAGAAAAGGTTACAGGACTAGTTGGATTCTTCTGCCCTGGTGAAGCTGTTATGGAGAATGTCTCTGAAATACTTCTGGCCAATTCACATATAATGAATACTTTCAATTTCACTAACGAGAGCCCTTTTCAAACATTCACTCAGCCACACAACAGACTATTAATTTCATCAGAAAAAAAATTTTATTTTTAATATGTTAATTGGCAAAGCATTGCTTGGGGGTTGAGATACAGATAACAGAAACCCATGGCAGGCAATTAGCAAAACCACCCTTTCTTTCTGCTTTCCTGATTAGCATGTAGGCAGTACCTCCAGGTTGTGGCTTAACCTAAGTAATGACTTAATAGTATCACACTCAAATACTGAAGTGTTAGTGTTTTTTTAATTGCAGTGAAATATACATGACATACATTTTACCCTCTTAGCCATTGGCTTATTTCACTTAGTATAGTCTTCAGGGTTCATCCATGTTGTAGTGTGTATCAGAATTTCATTTCAAGACTAAATAATACTCCATTGTATGTTAATGCCACATTTTGTTTATTAATCTATCAATGAGCATCAGAATAGTTGCTATAAACACTGGTGTACAAATACATGCTGAAAAATTTTGAAGGAAATTGCAAACATAAAAATCTGATGATTTTACTAGGAACTTAAGTAACTAGGCAGATAATATAAGCAGAATATGGCCTCACACTTAGTATTATTGCAGTTTAGTAAGGCACGTGTAACTTCTGTACTTCAGTACAGCTGAAAACATTGTCTAACAGGATTTCAGAAAGAAACAGTTTGAATGAAATTCTTTGTTAGCATTATAAGACAGATTTTATACTTCAGATCCCAAATAGTTTTCTAAAAATATTATTCATCCTATAGCTGTTTAGGTTCCCATAAGGCACTTTCATGCTGCAAGAATCAGACAAATTTCCACAGATATTTGGTCATTGTGCTTGGTTTCCAGGATACAGTTGCATTAAATATTGTGTTCTGCAACCCTCAACCTTCATCACTATGTGCTGAAATGTGACCTCGTCTTCCTCACTGCTCAGAAGGCACAATAGTCTAGATTTATATTAATCTCTCCCTGTAAGACCATGACTGTGGAAAGTGTTGACCCTGGACTCTGGTGATGGCTAGAAATGAACCACATGGATTGCATGGCAGCAGACATTGGAGGGTTTGGATTCTGCACAACACAGATTGGCTGTTTCTTTGATTTACATGTGTGAATAAATGTATCTGCGATATTAAGAAAACCAAGGGCAAGGCACTGTGCTTACATACACGTTGTCAGAAAGCCTCTGCGTAGACTTCTGGACCTGTCCTTGGCATGTTCCAGATGAGTTCCTGGGTTCTGACCCTGTCTCTTCCAGTGATGGACTGAAAGGCCTTGACTTTGATCATACATTGATTAACAGTTTTATTGAGAGAATGTACTATGTGTCAGGTACTCTTAAGGGGCACACGATGCCCAAGCGAATGGAACAAACTTTCCTGCTTTCATGGCTCTCAGAATCTAAGGCTGTTTCTGATATGGTAGCCATTAGCCACATGTGGCTATAGAAATTAAAATATAAATTCATTAAAATTACGTAAAATTTTTAAAAATTCATTTTTTTCTCTGGCACTAGCCACATTTCAAGTGTTCAGTAGCCACATGTGACTGATGGCTATTCTCTTGAGCAGTGAAGATTCGGAACATTTCTGTCATCACCGAAAGTTCTTTTGGATGATGATATGGGGAAAACAGGTAATAAGTATGCAATATTGAAAATGATATAAAAAATGAGAAAAGTAGAGGAAAAGGATAAGGTGAATTCAGAGTGGCAAGGGTGGTTGTAGTATTAAGCAGAGTGGTCAGTGTAGGTCTTTCTGAGAAGGTGAGATTTAAGCAGAGACTTAAAGAAGGCTAGTGTGTCAGTTGTGCAGATACTGAGTGAGGAGTGTTCCAGGGAGACTGAACAGCCAGAGCAACATGCTACGTCAGGAATGTGTTTGACATGTTTCAGGAATGGACCAAAATAGCTCGACTGAGTGAGCAAGGGAAGAAACATAGCAAAAGAAGAGAGCAGAGTTACAGGGTCTAGTCAGTGTAGGCCATCGAACACAGTTAATGGCTTTTACAGTTCTGAGTGACAAGGCAGCCCACTGCAGGATTTGAGCAGAGCAGTGACATGAGCTGTCCTGTTGGGATGGCACTAGACTGATTAGAGGGACCTGCAAGAAGACTATTGCATAGTCCACAGAGGACCTGATTGGAGCTTGGAACAGGGTGCACTAGCAGTGGAAGTGGAAAGAAAGAAATGGTCATGTTTGGATATATTTGTATACAGAGCTGATGTTTCCTGATAAACTGGAAGAGTGAAAATTAACTCCAAAAAGGCTCCAAGGTTTCTGCTCTAAAACTTATTTTATTGACCAATGTGGACTTATAATGATCAACTTTCTTGTGCCTCCAGAACCTAATCCTCTTTTCTCTGACTTCCACACCCTTGACCCTCCCCCTCACTTCATCCCCACCTCTGGCCAGGACCCATTCCAAATGTTCTCATAGCCACCACATACTTTTATTCTCCATACCTTGCTAGTCCCCAGCCTTGCAACCATCTGCATTATTGGTCTGTGCTTTATAACACTCGGAATTTCTCCACCCATCTCAGGCAAACCCCCTTTCCAGATCTCTGTTGTGCCACGTCATGCTCCTCACAGCACAGCCCCACCTCTGTACCATGTTCCTCCTGATGTATTGAGACATTCAGAACAGCCTTCATGAGCATTCATGCTTTTCTCTCCACTGGCCTTCGCAGAATCACTTAGTCCTCCATGCTCCTTCCCCCTCCTAACGGTGCACAGCCCAGGGCTACCACAATATTGCTCTGTGAATGATCTCTGTTCCGTATCTCTTCCTCAGTGATTCTGCCTTTGGTCTACAACATGCTGCAGAGGAATGCTATTTTCAGAAAATTCTCTCTGCTTTTCAGTCTCCTTAAATGATTCTAGATCATTGGTAGATCCTATGGAATCTGTAGTCAGAGCTTTGGCTCCTCTTACTCCACTCACTCTTGTGACCCCGGCCTACCCTTCTGGATTTACCTCTCATTCCCCACACAACCCTTCCCAAACTACAGGAACTTCCCAGTTCACTGCCTTCTCCCTCTGTTTCATGCCCCCACTGTCTTTCCCTCAGCCATTCTCTAAGGGTCACTCTTTATGTGGCCTACTCAACCCAGCCCTTCGACAAAGCAATGCTGTCCTTCTACCCAATTCCTAGGTGTTTTTTTCCCCCATTTTTTTTTTACTGAGAAACAATTGGCACCCAATTAGATAATCTTGTGGGCTGTGTACCCACAATTCCAGCCAAAATAGAGTACCTCTAGCACCCCAGACATTTTCCTCATTCTGTTTCCCCATCAATCCCTAATCTCACCCAAAGGCAACCTCTATTCTGATATTTATCTTCAGAGATCAATACTGCCTGTGTATGAACTTCACATAGATGGAACCCTATGTGGTTCATTGTGTCATGTTCCATTTATTTATTTATTTATCTATTTATTTATTTATTTGACAGAGTTATAGAAGAGAGGCAGCGGCTGAGAGAAGGAGATCTTCCATTCCCTGGTTCGCGATGGCCAGGGCTGGGCCAGACCGAAGCCAGGAGCTTCATCTGGGTCTCCCATGTGGCTTCAGGGGCCCCAAGACTTGGGACTTCTTCCACTGATTTCCCAGGCAAATGAGCAGGGAGCTGGATCAGAAGTGGAGCAGCCAGGACTCAAACTGATACCCGTGTAGGATGCCAGGGCTGCAGGTAGTGGCTTTACCACAGTGTTGGCCCCCTTTGTCATGTCTCAGCCCTGTATCCTGGCTGTGAAATTCACCCATGGTTTTGCATTTGTCAGTACTTCATTCCTTTTGATTGCTAAGTGCCATCCCAATGTATAAATATACCACAGTTTGTTTTCCCAGTTTTCTGTGTAGCTTGTTTTCCCCGTTTCAGCATTTATGCATTGAAGTGCTAAGCTCATTCTTATCCAAGGTCTCCATGGGCATATGTTTTAATTTTTTTTCTTGGGAAAATATTTAGAGGTGAGATTGCTGTGTCAGAGGATGATGTATGTTTAGTTCTGTAAGAATCTGCCAAGCTGTTTTCCAAGGTGATTTTTACCCTGTTTTCATTCTTTGCCTCCCCACCAGCGGTGTGTGTGGGTTCTAGTTCCTCTGCGTGCCTCTTAATTGTGTGTCCTCACTTAATGCTTTTCTTGGACACTGTTGCTCTGTCTTCCTGCAGCTTGCAGCATCTTACTTCATCTCCTCCTCCACTTGAACTTTGGAAGGCTGCAGTTGAGCCTCCATCATCTTTGTACCCCATGACTGGTCCTCCTCAAGGGATGGTTCCCCTAAATCTGTATAGAACAGAATGAAACGGAACCCTATAAGGGAGCCAGGGCCAGAGAATTCTGTAGAGACAGCTGAGTGGTCCAAGAAAATCAATATGGTCGGACTCCTCTGGAAGTGTATTACAGTACTGCAGTTTGAATGCCTGGCTCCTGTGGCCGTTCGTTACAGTCTTCAGGAAAGGCTTTTTATCAGATTCATAGTGGCAAGTGATACAAATTATTGGATTTCTTTTCCAACATAAAAAATAGCTATTTGCAGCCTTTTGAAACTGGGTAAATGAGCCTTTGATCTTACCTGTGGAACACTGCAGGGTATTTTTGTCCTGTCTTAACTTCCAATATTCTATGATGAGAGCCTGCCTCTCCAGCCATGCTGACCCAATCATCATTCCCTGCACGTTTCTTGCCCATATCCTCCTTCATGCCTTTCCTACAGGATGAGGAAGATCCTAGCTTCAAATGCCCTCCCTTTTTCACTCCTAGATACTAAATCACCAAGGCCTGGCACAAATGCAATATCTCTCTGAAGCTTTCCCAGCTGCTTTGTCTCTCAGTAACTGTTCTCACCCATGAATTATTAGAACCTTCCCAGGCCGGGGTGATGGTACCCATCCTAGCTTCCAGGGTCTCCAGATTAATAGAAGCACCCCAGGGCAGAAGAGAACTCCTTACATGACAAGTGTACCCTAAAATGTATGTGGCTGTGTCCCAGAGAGCCAGCTGCAATTCAAGCCTCTCTTTTGATGTCCCTTGTTCAAAATGAGCCACTCCACTTCTTGCCAGCACCATCAGCCTCCTGCCATCATCTTGAAGCAATAAATTGCTTCAGACCATGTTTCATCACTCACCAGCTGGTCAAGAGCCCAAGTTGTGTTCAAGAGCACATGTTAAAATGTTCAGATCTCTGGGCATGTGGGAAGGCACTGAGTAATAGGGCTCTGCCTTATGTCGTCAGCATGGGCAATTCATTTTCCAAAGGAGACACAGAAATATTTGGCTTACATTTTGCAAATATCTTGAACAAGACCAGGGTGGGGTACAAACACACAGCTTTTGTTTTCTCTTGCTCTCTCAAAACCAGCCAGCACCCTGTCTGGTATCCCAGGTGTCTTACTGAAAGTAGAGTCTTTTCTTACAACTCCCATTGTCCACTTTGGACTCCAGAAAATCCTGCATCTTTAATCCTAGAAAATGCACCTTCCCATGTCTCCTTATTCTGCCCTTCTCATTATGGTCCTCCACTGCCTCCCTACCTCCTATTCACCACAAAAATCCATTTATTCATTAAAAAATATTTCACAAGTTTTTTTGCTAGACACTCTGGTAGGAGTTAGAAGTCAAAAAATAGCCAAGACAGATATAACATGTACTTCTGGGACTTGTATTTTACTGGCAATATGGAAACACAAAGAGGCAACTAGAAAATGCTGTCTAGATTGCTCCCTAGTAGAAGTGTGGGATCTGTGAGGACACAAGAGAGAACATTGTGTCCAGGCTCAGGAGGTCTGGGGAGGCCTCAAAAAAAAAAAAAAAAAAAAGAGGTGGCCTATCAGCTGAGAAGAGTTGCCAGAACTCCAAAGAGACAGGAAGGTGGAGTGGGGTAGTGCATGCAGAGGATGTACAATGAATGGTACTTCAGAAACTTCACGGAAAATTCTAATTAAACGATAAGTTAATTTTGGTGCAAAATAATTGTGATAATCCTACATAGATTTTTTTTTACGTAATACACAGTTTTCATGAACTTTTTGAAGTACTCTCATAGGTGGAGACACTCAGAAGCTATGGGAACAAGGCACAGGAAGGAGACAAAAGCAATCTATTGTGTTTAGAAAGCAGAACACAGGAGGGAATGGGGAATGTGAAGCTTGAAAGCAAGTATGTTTAAAAACATGTTGCCATACTGGGTCTTCCGGTAAGTTCTGAACTTGACATAGCGAAGGGCAGCCATTCAGAAGCTTAAGTAAGGAGGCAAGAGGGCCTGTTTGGTGCTTGGAAAGTAGGATTAACAGCATGGAACAGGGGCCAGCGCTGTGGCGTAGCGGGTAAAGCTGCCGCCTGCAGTGCTAGCATCCCATATGGGCACGGATTCGAGTCCCGACTGCTCCACTTTCAATCCAGCTCTCTGCTATGGCCTGGGAAAGCAGTACAAAGTGGCACAAGTCCTTGGGCCCCTGCACTCACATGGGAGACCTGGAAGAATCTCCTGGCTCTTGGCTTTGGATCGGCACAGCTCTGGCAGTGGCGGCCAATTGGGGAGTGAACCAGCGGATGGAAGACCTCTCTCTCTCTCACTCTCTCTCTCTCTCTCTCTCTGTCTCTCCTTCTCCCTCTGTGTAACTCTGACTTTCAAATAAGTAAATAAATATTAAAAATAAAACGTGTAACAGGCAGGAAGACAAGGAAAGACAAGATGATGTCCTCACTGGAGGAGACAGGGCAGAAGAAGATGGATGGACGAGCAAGGTCACGGGAGAGGAGAAGGTAGAGGGTTGAGCTCACCTCTCAGGCTTTCTGGAGAATTCACAGAAGTAAGGAAAACAAGGAGCTTCAGGTTTGGGGGTGGGGGCAAGCCATCCTTCAAGTAGTTTGATATGGATCTGGAGCCTGGCAGAGGTCTGGGCTAGTGGGGTCATAAGACATCAGTACTTTGATAGCAGTGATGCCCTAGTAGTGGATTGGGTACCCTAGGAGTAGAAGGGGCCCAAGACCACTGAGAAACAGGCAGATGGAGAGAAGCCCAGAGAGAAGACTGAAGGGGGGCAGCCAGGAAGCAGGGGCAGCCAGGAGAGGAAATCATCTTGGTGGGAGCTCAGGGGAGCTCAGATGGCTAACCAAGTCCAGTTTCCCAGATGGACACATTTAAAGGTGAGGCTGGCAAGTGGAATTGCAGGGGATAATGAGGGTGAAACAGATTGAAAAATGAGTGGGAAATAAGGAAAAGGAAAGAGCAAGCAAGGAAACTCAAAAGGTTTGACTGTAAAGGGAGGAGACATAAAGAGCAATAGCTAAGAACAGCATGAAATAAAAGAATGCTTTTTAAACATACAAGAAACATAAGCAAAACCTTAATGAGTTTCAGAATGAGGTAAAAGGATGAATGATTGAAATTTGTGGTGAAAAGCTAAATAGGATACAAAGCAAATACTGAGAATATAGGCATGATATATGATAGAATATGAACACTTAATTACAGATGTCTATGACAGTGGGCCAAACACCAGTTTGGAAAAAGACTAGACAATTCAGCTCCATGTGGTGGAGGCAGCATAGCAGGCAGGTCCTAGAGCACACCCCTGCTTTCTTTCGCTAGCTAAGGGGGCCTTGGGCAGGTTATGTAATCTCTCCACAAGAAATGGAGAAAATCCCACCTGCCTCCCAGTGAGGCAGATCCTCAGGAACTGTTAGCCTTCATCATCTATCAGAGCCCAAAGTAGAGGGAAAGAAACTAGCTGGGAACTTTTCAACCAGGCTGCTAAAGATACTGAAACCATGACCTTGTGCTGTTGTTTTGTAAGTTGTTGAAACTCAGATCTGTCCTTATGAGCCAGACCTGCCGGCTCCGTCTGTAGAAACACTTCTGTTTGTCCTGCTTGGCCCCAGCACTGGCAACACAGCATCCATCATGAAGGCGGTATGGTGCATGCACAACCAAGAAATGTCTTTTGGGCTCCTACCCTGTTTCATTCCAGAGCTTTCCATCTGGTTTTCAAATGAGATGTCCCTGTTCAGGAGGGATGCCAAATGCTGAGAATTTCACAGCGCTCCCAACCTCAGGCGCCAGCTCTTTGTAATTGCAGTGGTGATGATTTGAATTGTCTTCCAAAGAGGCCTCATGTGTTTGTCAAACACCTACATGTCCATGTCGGTGGAGCTGAAATTATAGGAGAAGAGAAATGCAAGGGTATGTTCTGAAGTAGCTGGCACATGGTTGGTGACCCCTAAGTGCTGGTTTCCTTTCTGGAAGGTGCCAAGAGTGCATTCTCATAAGACAATATGGTAGGGAGGAAGCCATAAGAACATGTAATTTGCCCTCACTTTTTGACTCTACTGTTGAGCAACCATGTGAACTGGGGCTTTGACCTATCTTCTTGAGCTTTCTGTACTCACCTGTGAATGAAGCCTGATGCTTGCCACCAACCAGTGTGTCTTTTTTTTTAACTTTTATTTAATGAATATAAATTTCCAAAGTACAGCTTATAGATTACAATGGCTACCCCCCCCATAACTTCCCTCCCACCTGCAACCCTCCCCTTTCCCGCTCCCTCTCCCCTTCCATTCACATCAAGATTCATTTTCAATTCTCTTTATATACAGAAGATCAGTTTAGCATATATTAAGTAAAGATTTCAACAGTTTGCACCCACATAGAAACACAAAGTGAAAAATACTGTTTGAGTACTAGTTATAGCATTAAATCACAATGTACAGCACATTAAGGACAGAGATCCTACATGAGGAGTAAGTGCACAGTGACTCCTGTTGTTGACTTAACAAATTGATACACTTGTTTCTGGCATCAGTAATCACCCTAGGCTCTTGTCATGAGTTGCCAAGGCTATGGAAGCCTTATGAGTTCACCGACTCAGGACTGAATTAGACAGTGTGTGGACGTACCGGGCACCCAGTAGGTATGCAGTGTTTTTTCTGCTCCCTAATCTGTGTCCCTGTTTTGACTACTAGATAACAATGTTCATAAATTTCCTCCTGTCAAGTCAAGTCTTCAGTCATCCCACACTGCATGAATGTGACACCATCACCCAAACCCGTCGCTGTCTTTTCAGGCACCAGGAGAGCTCTGGGTGACTGCAATAGAGACGTTATTGCTGGCTGTCACTACTGAACTGGTGCACTCCTTCACTCGGCAGTGAAATGTGTGCAGGCCTTTTCTTTTCTCTGGCTGAACATTTTGCAATCTCCTGTGAAAACAATGCCCTCGTTTTGTTTCCTCTCTCTGACCTGTCTCTCCTCCTCCTTCCCTGTTTCCTAAACCTCTTCTTGTTTCCCTGTATTGTTTGCTTAATGGGCAGTTTAATGAGTGTAGCATTTCCATTTTTGAAATGCACAGAGCAGAAGGCAGAACTTGGATTTCTTCCTGGGCAGTTTCCATCCGCAGCCCTCCTTTACAGCCTTCTCCCTTCTTTTCCATTTGCAACACGTCTGAAATTTGCTGAACCAGAAAGGGGAGGAAAGAGGTATGAGAAGAGCAGCAATCTGCCTCCTCATTGTTTCAGGAAGAGCTTATTACCATCCTGTTCACTGAAAGAGACCAAGAGCTCTAAAAGATGCCAGGGTGCCCCTCCTATTTGCACAAAGCCCAAGGCCCTGAGCACACAGTGCATGACAGAATCTAATTACCGAGATAATTATTGTTACCTGCACTGCCCAACTGTTGTGCTTTGTAATCAAAACTATATTGGCAGGTGTGAGTCTGAACCCGCTGGAACTCAGGGAAGCTACTGAAGGCTTATCAACCTGAGGCAGTTTTACTCCAGCCACTGGGCCTGTGTTGCACAGAGTCTGTTACCAGGCTGTTTGAAGATCTGGAGAAAACACCGGAGCAGCTTGGCGAGCACAGAGCCATGAGTCACCGGGTACAGACCTCCTCAGCTGACCCTTGTCTAGCGCTCGTGTTGCTGAAACTGGACTTCACGGCAGTTTCAAAAAAGCTCCATGCCAATGTTGAATCTGTTCTCCAAATGGTTGATCATTTGCTGACTTAGCTTTCATTTGGCATTCAGTGGAAGATAAATTGATTTTCTCTGAGCATGGGCAGGCTGTGTGCATTTGGTGGGGACACTGTGTGCTAAGTCTGATGTAGATATTGTCGCTCCCCCTCTTCATGGAGGAACGACACAGGACCCTGCGCTGTTCTTTCGTCTGCTCGGCCCTCCCCGGGTTTGCTGCTGGTTCTTCCCGGGTTGGCTACTATCCCTTCCACCTCCGTGGAAGGGCGGTTCCCCCTGCCACATTCCCCACTTCCGCAGGGGAGCGGCACACCGCCGGCTGGCTCTCTCGGGGGCTGCACAGGTGCTCCCCTTAGATGTTCCCCTTAGATGTTCCTGGTGCATGCCGTCTCTCTCCTCCTTTATAGTCCTCCTCCGCCAATCCCAACTCGGCTGCCCACACGCCGAGTACGCTGCTCTCCAATCAGGAGCGAGTCCTACAGTTTATTGGCTGAACTGGAGGCAGCTGTGCGGAAGCTGTTTACTTCTCTCCCAGCGCCATATTGTGGGAGAGCAGATGCATAGAATAAGTCTTAATTCCAGTAACTCAGTCTAGTCCGGGTTGCTCCCCACAGATATGTGCTCATGCCCATTGCTACCTGCTTCATGTTCATTCTGGCGCAGAGCTACAAATGGCTCTCTGTTCCCATCTCAGCAACTCTAGTTAATTTATGCCTTTACCTGTGTGCTGTAGCACAATGAGGAAATTGAATTTCTACTCTAAGAATCAAGTTTATGAAAAAATAAAATGGCATGGTAATAATTGGTTGTAAAAATGCTTAAGGAAACTCCAAGTGAAAAACAAGGTACACGTTGCCAAAGAGGAAGAAGAACTAGGGAATAAAGACAAAGGACTCTTGAGAGAGTAGACTAACAAGGAAAAATGGATGAGGTTGACAGAAGTTGTCAGGTTGGAAATGGAAAGGGAGTCAAGGAAAAGGAAGGGAAGGAAAGAGAAAGAAAAAGAAATGACATGGACTTGAGTAATGGATTCAGTGTAAGAATTATGGAGGGAAAAGTCAGAGACATTAGGTCTTTAACAATTACAGGTTGTCAGTGGCCAGGGGAGGAAGTGGAGAGGGGCTAGATACATCCCTTATGACGCTGGAGGTCTGGATTCCTCAGGACAGTGTCCCCTGCATATGATAATTAAGACTCCTAGCCAGACTCATTACTGTGTTTGGCCAGCCTGTAATGGCAATAGAATTCGCTGATGCATACTTAAACTGAATGTTGTTAACCAGTCTTAAATACAGTCACAAACTGTAACTAAAAATTAGAATGCACTGATGACTGTTTCTATAGGAAAAGTCTGTAAATCGTTCCTCTTGCTGTTTCCCAAAATTTTCAGTCATTTGTGGTTCTTGATGCTGGCTAGTATGTGAGCAACTGAGCCTTGCTGGATGATGAGGCTCCTCTTGGTATTTACTTTTAACCCTTTCCTGGGCTGGGAGAATGAAGTCCTCTGGCAGGAACATGGACAGTGTCCTTACCTTATCAGAAACAAAGGAACTTGTAAAGGACCAGCAGCAACTCCTTCTGCCGGAGCTGGGAAATCCAGAGATGGTCGTCTCAACCGATCCCAGTTTGCAAGACCAACATTCTCTGAGGCAGCAGACAGGATGCGAGTCCTCGAAGGAATCCAGGGAAAGTGTCATTGGCCTGTGAGCTCAGACCAGAGTCTGGAAACAGCTCCGCCTCTGAGGCCTGCTCTGTTGAGGGCAGGACTTGATGCTCACCAGGCACTTGTGGGTAGTTCTCCACGTCAGCACTAACTGCAGCTACGCGCCCTCAGCTGCCTTCTGCCGTGGCTGGAATATGCCCCATTTGTGTATGTTTCTTAGGGTAAGTGATCTTCAACAGTGAGTGGGAGACGGCGCAGTAATTATCCAGATGGATTTATATTTGTGTTTGGGCGGTCTTTCATATATTTAATAGAATTGGGTCTGGCCTGGTTTTCTAAAAAACCATGAAGCCCTTTTAGGCTCAAGTGTTGCTAGAAACTAGACAGCCCCTCTGTTCCCCTCTCCCGTTCCTCAGTCACTGTTCCAGATAAGGATCCTCACCTCCAGGAGTGCAGAGTCATGACAATGGTCGGTTCATTCAACGGGGAGAGTGACCAGCTCATTCCAGCTCACCTAGGATGCTTCTGAGTTCAGCAGTGAGCGTTCCACGTGCCAGGTGTATTAGTCAGCTTCTTGACAACTTACAATACTGAGAGGAGCTTCTTGTGAGGAAAGGGTTTATTCTGGACGACAGTTTGGAGGATCAGGTATCTGACAAAGGCTGGCCATGGCAGAGGTTGTGTGTAGGAACAATCTCTTAGCAAGTCAGGAAGCAGAGAGAGAGGCTGGGCTGAACTTGACTTAAATAGTCAACCTGCTCCTGAGAACTGCCTTCTGAGGACAAGCCCCAGTGAACCCAAGACCTTCCACCAGGCCCACCTCTCAGAGGCCATCCACCCTTGACCCATCAACCATCAACATGAGACTACATAGTTTAAACACCTGCTTGAGCCAAATCCCATCAATCCACACTCAGTCCCAAATAAACCAGGACAGTTGGTCACCCTGACATTTATTGTGTTCTGCTAGAGTTGGAGAAGGCCCTACAAATCATAATGATCCCATCCACTCATTTTAAAGGCCTAGCTGAAGCCCGGGAGTCCTCTTTATCAATTCACTTTTCTTGTGACTCACACATTCCTTGTACTAGAAGATAATTAAATACTATGATCAAAGATTTTCTCTGAAGACTATATTAAATAATAAAATTAGGGGCCAGCATTGTGATATACTTGGTTAAGCAGACATCTGCGATGCTGGGAACACATATGGGAATCCATATGAGCACTGGTTCAAGTTCCGGCTGCTCTACTTCTGATCCAGCTCCCTGCTAATGTGCCTGAAAAAGCAGGAGAGGACGGCCCAAGTGCTTGGCCTCTGCACCCACATGGGAGACCCAGAAGAAGCTCCTGGCTCCGCCCCAGCCACTGCAGCCATTTGGGGAATGCAGATGGTAGATCTTTGTATCTCCTCCCCCCAGTTCTGACTTTCAAGTAAATAAATAAATAAATGTAAAAATGTGCAATAAAATTAATGTATTATATTGTACTAATAAGGATCTTATCATACAGGTTAGAATTTGAAAATTAGATAGTCAAAAAGAGTAAATAAAAGATCAAATATTTTGTATCTGGATACTTCTTAGAACATCAAAGAGATAATTTATAAAATGGTATCGTTGGTGGCTGGTGTTGCGGCAGAGTGGTTTAGACTATCACATACAATGTTGGCATCCTATCAGGGTGCCAGTTTGAGTCCCATCTCCATTTCTGACCTAGCCCCTGCTGATATGCCCTGGAAAACAGAAAATGACCCAAGTACTTGGGGATCTGCCATTCTCAATGGAAACCCAGATGGAGTTTCAGGCTCTGGCTTTGGCTTAGTCCAGCCCTGGCCATTGCAGCCATTTAGGAAATGAACCAGTGGATGGAAGTTCACTCACTCTCCCCCCAAATGCTGCCTTTCAAATAAACAACTGAACTTCTTTTAAATTGTATCATTTCAGGAAACTGAAACAATGGTCCACACTGGACTTACTATCAAAAATATAAGCAATAATTTCCCATGGAGCAGCTAGTAGAGGAGAAATATTAGAAGTCAAGAGACTCATGCTATAGCTTTCATACTTCATTTACAACCATAAGGCCTTTGTGAGCTTCTTAGAGGCCTCACGTATAAGGTGGAAACTCATTAAAAGCCTGTATAAGCAGAGCTTTTGTAAGACCAAGTGATAATGTAGCAAGTATGTACAAATGTCTACTGATATTTAATGGCTATTATAGCTTAAGGTAGCATTTAGCCTACATTATAATTTAGTACAAGGGTTATTAAACTGTGGCCCACGGGCCAAATCTGGCCTATTGCCTGTTTTGTAAAAAGAAAAAAAATGTATTTGTATTTTATATATATTTCCAAATGTATGTTGTATAGAACTACATATATACACAAATACACCACATGTAAACATATACAGCATAACATACACATAAATATATAATATATAGACTTAGACTTATGTCCAGCCATGCTTGTTTGCATTTTTACTAACTGCAACTATACTGTGATCATGCTATAACAATACTGTCTCCTGTCTACAGCTGTGCTATGCTCATGCTGTCTGTGGCTGTACTGTCTACACATGTGCTATCTATGGTTGTGCCAGCTACATTTGCACTATTATTGTGCTGTCTATGATTCTACATTCTTTGATTTTTCTTTTTCATGCTACAACGGCGAAGTTGAGTAGTGCTCTTGTAACAGAGACTGTGTGGCTCGCCAAACCTAAAGTAATTGGTCTCTGGCCCTTCACAAAAATACTCGGCTGACCCTGGTCGGGCAGAAGGGTTGCAAATCGGTATCCAAGGTCCAGGGTTCTCTTGGGTTCTGTGTCAGTACATGATGTCAAGCAAATCGTTTACTCTCTCTGCTCTGTCTTCTAATACTGTATGCAAGGGGAATACAAATCCAACTCCTTCTTTTCTCATAGAAATGTTGTTAAGAAAGATAAGGGAAAAAAAGACAATAAAAGCATTGATTTTTTTCTGCAGAGAAGATTATTGAAATTTAAAGTGCTATTCGCATGGTGGATGTTGTTAGGCGATGCAGAGATGGTGACTAATGCATTGTTCTTCTCTGCTGTTAGTTCTCTCCTGCACCTCAGTGGGGGATTACTTAGATCGGTGATAGCACATAGACCTCTACACTGTGGTACTACATCAAAAGCTCAAATGCTGCACAAGAATCTAATTTAATCACAGTATCCACTCAGGAGTGTGAGTTTTAATTGCTTTTTTATCCCTGTATCCTCTGAAGAATGTCATTAAACATTTACAAGACATGAACTTCAGATTATGCAAACATCTCTGCTGAGGTCACCTGGCAGCTGGCCATTCTAGTCCAGGACCAAGACAGAGGGGCCTCTGGGCACATGAGGAAGAATTACTCCCAAGACTGAAGAACAGTGGTGGTGGCAGCAGTGGTTTGCAGAGCAAATACCAAAGACATTTGTTTATGTTAAAACTTTAATTTATATTTGATTCTTGGGTGCCTGACTGATACCCAGGCTAGTTAAGCACATATACCAGTGATTAACAAACCTTTGCCTAACACATGTAAATATTAGGACTTCTTCAGTCCCAAGAGCCCCCTCGATCCTCCGTGAAGGATCTCTCTGAAGGAACAGCCCTTCATATGACTAAAAGCAGCCATATGGAGACCATACCTGGTCTTTGAAAGTGACATTGGCCCAGGTGCAACCCATTTAAAGACCCATACTGAACTCAAGATTCATGGTACAGTAAATTAGTAGGTAATAATTTTCTTTATAAAAAGATTCTTCAGTTTATAAGCAGATTCACTTCAATGTTTCTTTATGTGATATTGTTACTTGCACAGGCAATAAAATCTCATTGTTAGAGATCCGGTGCACACATAACTTCTTCATTGCTAACCTGGATAGAATGATAAAAAGCAGGATAAACCTATAATCCCCTTAGATTTTAAGATGTGGCTTTAGTCAAAATCTTTTGTTCTAAGCCTGAGAGCTTAACGTTACTTTCTACCTATGACTGTCTGGAAAAAAATGGGGTATAGGATTCCTGTTTTTTTTTTTTCCTTTATAAAAAATGTATTTAAGGAATACAAACTTTATGCGTTCCATGTATACAAATTTAATAACATAGTGATTCTTCCCACTCTATCACTCCTCTCCCCCTCATACTTCCACCCTTCTTCCTCCTCCCTCTCTCATTCCCATTCTTATTTTTTACAAAGATCTATTTTCAGTTAACTTTATACTCATAAAATTAACCCTACACTAAGTAGGGGGATCAATACATAGTATGAAGAAAAATGTAAAAACAAAAAGCATTGTTCCTCAACAGTCAAGACAAGAGCTGTTCAAAATCATTGCATCACAAAGTGTCAATTTCACTCCCATAGATTGCCTTTTCAGTACTCTATTAATTACCACAGATTAGAGAGAACATATGGTATTTGTCTTTTTGGGACTGGCATATTTCACTAAGTATAATGGTTTCCAATTGCTTCAATTTTGTTGCAAATAACAGGATTTCATTTTTGTTAATGCTGTATAGTATCCCATAGTGTATATAAAACATAATTTCTTTACCCAGTCTTCAGCCGACAGACATCTGTGTTGATTCCATATCTTAGCTATTGTAAACTGAGCTGCAATAAAAATGGGGTTACAGATAACTCTTTCACATGCTGATTTCAGGGTATAGGATTCTTTAAAATAACAATTTAAAAACATTACATGATTCAATGGCTAACTTGTTCTGATTGTATGAGATTTTAAGAAGAAAATGAAGGGTCACAGAAGCATAAGCTATGGACTTTTGACTATTACTAGTGATAATATTAGCAATAACTACCAGATTGAGCACTATCATGTGCCAAACAACATTATAACTCATTAACTCACTGAAACACAAACCTAAGCGGTGGGTACAATTATTACCATTCCTATATTCTATTATAGTTGGGGACGTTACAGCACAAAGAAGTTAAATATCCAATCCCATGTCACAAGCTAATACATGCAGAGTC